AGGGGGAGTTAATACGTGTTGTACTCTTTTTCCCTTACAAGGTTTTGTCCCATTGGGTTTTCCATGCAAGGTTTTTAACGAGGCAACCAAAAGGCGTATTTCTAAATATGTGTACTTTTTTCCTAATAATGTTTTAACGAGACACATTATTTATGGACATCCAAGGGGGAGTGTTATGATAAAAATCAAAATATGGTGGATGTCTACTCTTCCTCCATGATCTTTCTCTCAAATGGTTAATGACATATTCAATGACATATTTTCTATGTTCAATGACATATTCCATGACATATTTTCTTCATTTTTCATGCCTATATAAAGGCCTTGTAATAGATAGGAAAATACACCAAAGTGAAAGAAGAAAACACTTCTTCATTCTCTCTATCTCTTCTTGTTTACATTTTACTGCATTGCTTTTATTTTATAACAAAGAACACATTATTTGGATCATAGAATTTTGATTTCTTGGTTATTTGTGCACTTGATATTGTTTGAAGTTTTAACCTGCGGATATTGCTAATTAATTGATATTATCTGCGTAATTGGAGATATTGTTTGAAGTTTTAACCTGCGGATATTGCTAATTAATTGATATTATCTGCGTAATTGGAGATATTGTTTGAAGTTTTAACCTGCGGATATTGCTAATTAATTGATATTATCTGCGTAATTGGAGATATTGTTTGAAGTTTTAACCTGCGGATATTGCTAATTAATTGATATTATCTGCGTAATTGGAGATATTGTTTGAAGTTTTAACCTGCGGATATTGCTAATTAAACAGTTTCATTCACGGCCATAACATGTATAAAGGCTTCTCTTTTCAGAACTTTTTGAAGTAATAGCGCGCATGACCAAGTTTATAAAATCAGCTTATCTAAAAAGTGTTTTTCGGAAAAAGTATTTTTTGTGAAAAGCAAAGTATTTTTTTCTTTCTAAAAGTTTTGTCAAACACCTTAATCTTTTAGAAAAAAATTACTTTTGGCAAAAAAATCATTTTAGGCCAAAAATAAACTTGACCAAACAGGCTATAACGTAACAGTAGAAACTAATTAACACGTCTATGTCAAGGAGGATAAGGAAAAATAAAGGAAAAAAGTCTGTTGGGCATCAATATAAGATGCTCCAATTAGCTTTTGGTTTGTGAACAACCTATATTACATTTACGGCGATCAAAACACCAAAAACATATAGTTATATACTAGAGGGATGATGCCCGTGCAAGTTGCACGGGCCTGACACCAAAGCGACCAACATTAACATTTAAGTATCTATTGTCGATAATAAACACAACGCTTTGTATTATAATCAAAATAAGTATTTATAATCAAAAGATTTTTTTATGCAGCATGGGCATAATGTTGTTTTCTTTACAATATGTGCCAACAAGGCAAATAAGGAAGTAAGGACGGTGCCTCTCGAACAACCAGACCAGAGACTCAAGTTACTTCATCTTTTTTACAATACTTCTGGTTGTTGCAAGCCTGTCCCACTATCTACATTATGTTATTAAGTAGGCATGATTAACCTACTGTCCATTAAAACAATAAATGATTTGATATGGACACTGAGAAGATGTAAATGGATCGATCTACAAGGGCCATTAACCCCTGTACAAATTTCTCTTCAGGATTTAGGATGATTAGAAGAAAAGACGGAAGCTCAACCCTCTGCCTTTGAGATGGTTCCACCATATTGAATCAACATCAAACCAGAGACAGCTATAGTATTCCTAGAAACACAGAATTCCCATTGATCTTTTTATTTATTGAAAACCAACCATGCATACAATATCCTGGAGACCTAGGCACTAATAGTTCTTTCCATAATATAACATGAACAAAGGAACAAGATAAGCAAGTGGCATTCTTACACTGTATGAACACCTGATTATCCTCCGCCGTCTTCGATGAAAATCGCTTTCCATCAAGCTGTAAAACCATTGATATAAAGAATGCAATTAAAACCAAGCATACTTCAAAGCTCACTACATAGAAGACATACTATTCTTCTGAGGTTCATACTAAAGCCTAGAATCATGTAAGGAGCAACAACAACAACAACAACCCAGTATAATCCCACTAGTGGGGTCTGGGGAGGGTAATGTGTACGCATACCTTACCCCTACCCTGGGGTAGAGAGGTTGTTTCCAAATAGACCCTCGGCATCATTCCCTCCAAGAACTCCCCACCTTGCTCTTGGAGTGACTCGAACTCACAATCTCTTGGTTGGAAGTGGAGGTTGCTTACCATCAGAGCAACCCCTCTTGTCACTAAATTTAAGAAGCAACATCAGTAATATGGCACTATAAATTTATATTTATGGGGTAAATGTAGTTCCCAGGTCAATTTAAAAAGGAAAATTCCAAATACTTGGATAAGGAATGTTGTTACTGCAACCAAGAAATTAAAGACATCATGTTTTACCAAAACATAATAGATTCCAGAATACAACCAATAGCAAATAATTACTCAAAGGAGATGCTTACCATAACTCCAAGAATTATAAATGGTCATATCATTGTCAACAGAATCCTTGAGCGAAGAGTAAACTCCATGCGAAGAGAATGTGTAGCTCTCATAAACTGTGCAGACAAAAGTTCTGCCAGTAAACAAAAAACAGTTACAAATCTGTAATGGAACTTGGTTAAAAGGAACAAAGATAGAAAAATTTAATACCAAGAGGCAGGCACAAAGAGATTCTTACAGATTCAACCAGAATCATCTCTAGGAACATCACTTAGCAGATTTGCAGCTTTTACAAAAGATTACTAAGTTTTGTATCAGAACCATATGGTGCAGGATCAAAGTGTAGTTCTTGCATCCTACAAAGCATATGAAAATGTTAATATAACATCTTGAAAGATGTTTAACAAACTACAGATATCAATATTGCATTGTGAAATACATTGAACATGCCTTTATTCCTGGCATATGTAAATCACAGTAGCTAAGAAATTCCCATTCTGCTTGCATTAAATTTGGAACTGAGAATTTTGCTTTTCATAAAGACAATATGAAGCTGTCTTATTTAGCTTTGTTTTACCTTTCAGGATGATCAAAAGTAAAAATTTAAAATAATGTGAGTGCGCCAAAAACCACAGACTTGAATTTATATCGGCAGATGCACCACTTCAATCACTATCATCCAAGAATAAGATGTCACGGATGGAACAGATAAATATTCCGGACGCTGTAAGTATTAGAAATCATTCCATTAAAGTAATCTTGTGGGAAATATCTTTAATGTATTGCAATATCATCGTTCCAAAACATTGAAAGAGGTGCACATACTCAACGTGGTTAGATGTCCACAAAAGACGTGTATATAATTTTTTCTTGATTTTCAATAACAAATGAACTTCAGCCACAAAAGTAAAATATTGGAAGCAGATGGAAAGGTGCATGCAAGGGAGCAGGTGGACACTCCACTTAGAATAGATAATTGTCATTAGAATAGAATAGTATTTACTCGGCTCCTAACGATTTAAGAAATTAGCATGCCCCTCAAAGTAACAAATTGCAAATAGTGAAGAACATCTATGGCTCCCAATGGACATAAAACTTCTCTTGGCTAAAGCATTTTTGAAGAAAATTACTTATAAGATATGAACTTTTAAAAAGTTCCAATATACTAGCATTATCAGACTAATCAAAGAGTAGAAGGATAACAATTCACCTAATCTTTGTACTGATGGTTTCCTCTTTCTTTCTTTCTTTCTTTCAAAACCCAAAGAATGGAATAGCTAGTCTGACCACAAAAATCTTCCTCAGAAGTTATTTTAGCAATTTCGGAGTATGAAGTGAAGAACATAGCACTCAGAGTAAATGTGCTCTCTTATATAGCAATTGTCTTTTTCTTTTATTTCTAACTAATAAGCTAATATATCCCTCAAGTGTTGCATAATTTTCTCCAAACATATTCTAATATTCATAGACTTAAATCATATAGGAGGTGAAATATATCCCAGCCTAAGTAGCAGAGTGCATTGTGCAGAATTTGATACACTTTTTAACACTTTTTGGTATAGAAGACAATACTGGGCATTGATAACAGGTTACATTTGAGGGATGATTCGGAGCTTATGCACATTCAAATAGCATGTGTGAAAACTTAAAATGGAGTTCCTATCATTGAACTATCCAACTTTTGTCCATTTGTCCCTTTACAGGATTATGAGATGTGCATGCTCTAAAGGAATACATGATGACGTAGGCGATAAGTTCTTCCTCAACATAAAGCACCAGTTCTACTAAGTTGATGGCGTGATACAAATATATGTAGAATATATGTTACTTGTACTTGTACTAAAGGAAGAAAATAATATTTTGATCAGAAAAGAAAGATGATTTTTCTTTATCTACTTTATGAACATAACTTATTTTTCACTACAGCAATGAAAACTATTTTTAAAACATAGAAAGAGAACTAACAACTGTGACGACTTGTTAAATGACAAAATCATTGTCATACTCCTGAATTAGCAAAGTGAGAATCCAAAGAAACCTTAAATACATCTTTGAGATAATCAAGAGATAAATTTATGATCAAGATCACACACATGAGAGTGAAGAAAAGGCAATTAAGAGAACTTACCAAGCGAATGGGCTCTAAATGGTCATACCTTATATAGTTGCGAGCAAGGTCATCAGAGCTTCTTTCTATGCTAGTATCACCTTGTCCAGAAGTCCTTTCCCCTTACATGAATACAAACCAAGTGTCAAATGTGATAGCATGGAAGAAGCAAAACCAGAGCAACCAAACCGTATGACTTGTAGATGGAAGGACCTTTAGACACAGAAATGTTTTTTTTTATAAAAAAAAAAGTAACATCGCTAGCAATAGACCACTTTAGATAAATAGAAGCAGAAATATTTTTCTCAAACAAAGTATAATGCTAATGTCTATTCAAAGAAAAAGCAGAAGAGCAAGATAAACACTCAAAGCAAAAATGAGATAGCAATAAACAATACCCAAGGTTACATTGTTGACCAAAATAAAGCAAAAGAAAGTAATTCATAATCATACCTTGCATCCTTAGTGTGTGGATGGCAATAATACCCAACATAATTATCCAAGTCTTGAACAGTGGCCTCAAAATCACCAAAGTAAAGACTTTCTTCTCGAAAAGCCTTTGTTCAGCCGATACAAATTTTTCTGCTGCAGCCCAAAAAGGTAAATGGCAACATGAAACTTCAAATAAGTTGAGTGAGGAAATTCAACAAACAATTTGGGTGCACAATCCACTTTAAGTTTCAGTCATTTCGATACCTTAAATTTTCCATAAAAGGGTTTAATTCTGCACTAATTAGCCATGATACATGTGCAAATCTGAGGAGTATACTGGTACTGAAGATAGGAATGTAAGTGAGAGGAAGGCAGAGAAACTGAAAGAACCATAGACTAAGAACGGTGAAGGAGAATGTAACCAGATGTCTTACATAATTAAAAAGGCAGACAGATGTCAATATAAAAAAAGAAAATTCCTGATGCTGCAATTGAAGTAAATACACGTGTAGGTAAATAGATCCAATAACTAAAGTCCGTTGTCCAGTACAATTGAAGTAACTTTTTGTACAATGGTTTAGCGCTGTGTTCGTCCACTCTCTTCTCGCTTATATGTAGTAATAAAAAAATAGTACTTACTCCGTTTCAATTTATGTGAACTTGTTTGATTGACACAGAGTTTAAGAAAAAATGAAGACTTTTAGAATTTGTGGTCCTAAACAACTTAAAACGGGGCCCAATGTATTTGTGTGGCTATAAAAGTTTCTCATTAAAGATATAATTATAAGTTTAAACTTAATTATTACCAAATTTAGAAATGGGTCATTCTTTTTGGGACGAACCAAAAAGGAAATATGTTCACATAAATTGGAACAAAGGAAGTATATATATATATAGACTAGAGGAGGGCCCAACACTGAATTACAAAAATAATTTCCTTAATTGTATTTCTCTAGTTATTTTGTAACGATTATTTGTATTAATTTAAATAATATATTTAAAGATAAAAAATATATATGGATCTTTATTTAATAAAAATATTGTTTTTTCGAGTTAACCATCTAATTTTAAACTTAATTTGTTGGAATTAAACATTAGCGAAAAAGATATAAAAAGGTTTCAAATATTTCATTAGATTACTTCTTTTTTATTTTTTATGTTTGTTTTTCCATCATATTCTAATTCAAAATTTACAATAAATTTTTTTAGCAAAATAATAAGTAGGCTTGTTGGTAACACAAAACAAATCATAGACAACACATATTGATAATTTCTTAGTGAGTTAAATGTAAGAGAAAAAAAGACCCTAATTTATTTAAATCTCATCAATTTGTGAATAGCTAAAGAATTTTCACTTTTTCCGTTGATAATTCATTTGCTAATAGTTTTAAATAAGATGAGATGTCCTCTTCTAGCATAAGGAAAATCACGTTTTACATTAAAAGTGGACATGAAAATAGAAGAACAAATATTTCTAAAAGAATACTACCCTACTCTTTCTTTTTAGAGACTTTTCTTATTAAGTGCTTGAATTAAAGACAATTATTTGAGCAATTACACCTTAAAATATTTATTTGACTTTCAAAATAATCATGAAGATAGTAAAGTTATTATAGTTGAATAGTAATATCGTGAGTTCTAATTTGAACCCATGTTATTTTCTAATTAGATTACTCTTTTCTTATATAATATATATTCCAAAAATATAAATTTACTACTAATATTCTATTTTCATTTTCCTTTTTCACATGAATTATCGACATTGGGGACTTTTTTTTTCCTTTTCCTAATACTGCAGTACTATGTTATTTTACAAATTTAAGTATATTCTCTATTATTATTACTCCATTATTTTGTGTTTCCTATTAAATGAAAGGTTGAAATATAAATGTGTTGCAATGTCGCCAAAAGGAAAAACTCAAGCCCAAATAGAATACGATGGACCTTTGTGAAAACCAGCAACAAACCTTTGGGTGGAAATGACTCAAGGTAGTCACTCTTATGCATGTTGTTTAAAATATATCCACAGTTTATAATGTATTTAAAGATTAGCCAATTCGTTTAAGCTTCAGGACATCGCCTAAAGTTTAAGAATTGTGTCCAGAAGCTTGAATCTTATGTCCTGAATTTAAAATTAGTGGTTCATAAATTCAGGACACTTAGTCATGAATTTCAAATTAGCAACTCAAAAATTCAGGACACTAAGTCGTGACATCCAAATTCAAGTTTGGATAAATTGACTAATCTTTAAATACATTATAAATTGTAAATATATTTTAAACAACGGGCTTAAAAATGGCTACCGGTGCACTTCGCGCAACCTTTGGTAGCTGAAAAAAGATAAGAACTGTTTGATAAAGCCATCAATTTATTTTCAATTTAACTTTAAAAACTATTATTTTATCAAAAACTCATTTTTCTGAAGTAAAAGAAAAATTTTGAATGCAAAATAAAAGTTGTGCCTAGTGTAAATAAAAGACAACATTTACTGAATAAGTAATTTTTTTCACCAAATACACAATTATTGCTCGTCAATTTCTACTTAATGGAGTTGATCTTGATCACTTATTTGGAATATATGAATGCTAAATTGGTAATGCAACAAACCTTGTAAAAGAAGCACCCTAATTAAATTCCCTAACTAACGAAATTTTCCATAATAATCGATATAAACAGATTCTTCCGAAGATTTAATAGTAGAGTATCTATTTTTGGAGGTCTTCATGTAGTAAATTAATTACAGCTACCAACCATGCATGGTCCTGTACTATATATATATATATATTAAAGCAAGAAAGTTACTATATGTAATTGACATTATGGTTAAGCCAAGTGACAAGCTAATAAATGTCAATAGTATATGGTAACTTTAGTCTAAATTTGATTATTCTTGTCACGACCCTAACCCAGGACCCGATCGTGATGACGCCTCTCGTGAAGACAAGGCCAGCCAGACCAAACAAAACACCTCTTTTAAACAGTTAAATACCATAAATAGTTCTAAAATATGATATAATAACCATAATTTACAGAATTTACGATAACAACGGTAGAAGCCATCCCGACACAACCCAAACCGAGGTGTCACAAGTCATGAGCAACCAATAAATCCGGATACCAGTCTACTAGATACGAAATCCGATACAGAAGTTCAAGGACATGAAATTAGTAAAATAAGGGAGGCACGGGGGCTGTGGACGCCAACAGCTACCTCATAGTCTCCGTAATCACTGCCTGGACTGGGAGGATCAACACTCAGGAGCGGACTCTACGATGCCTGAATCTGCACACACGGTGCAGGGAGTAATGTGAGTACTCCGACTCAGTGAGTAATAATCATAAATAATGGTTGAAAGCAAGAGAACAAGTAAAGGCACAAAGCAATTCTATATCAAGCAGTGAAATCACTTAAAGAAGTAATCAGTGAAGAAGTCAAATGAAATCCCTTTAAACCAAGTAAAACATGTAATTTAGCAGGTAGATAACAAGTAGAAATCCGCCCCTCAGGCACAGTAACAATCACTCAGAACAGTATCAGCCCCTCGGGCTCACTCTCAGTACGATATCAGCCCCTCGGGCTCACTCTCAGTACAGTATCAACCCCTTAGGCTCACTCTCAAATCATGATGGGTACCCGCACTCACTGTGGGTGCAGACTCCGGAGGGGCCCCTTATGACCCAAGCGCTATATCAAGCCACCTCGTGGCATCATCTCTCGGCACTCAGCCTCACATCACTCAGCACTCGGCCTCACATCACTCAAGCCACCTCGTGGCGTATAAAAGTATCTCAGGCCCTCGGCCTCATATCACTCAGCATATCTTCACAAATGGCCCTCGGCCTCACTCAGTCCGAAAATCATCACAAGCCCCTCGGGCATTAGCAAAACAGTAGTTCTCAGCCCAAA